TTTCGCTCTACTAAAAGGTGATAACACTTATAGCCAGTGGAATTTCCCTAAATCTCAGTCTCCAACAAACTTGTGAGCACAGTGAATTTGTGCTACATTTACATTTAAGAAATTCTGAAAGTAAATATTACTGAATACATCAACCTAATTTATAATTAGCAGCATGAATTTGTATGCTGGTCACTCACGTATGTCATCCATGTCAGAACTATGTCATTTGTGGGAAATAGTTATACTAGCAAATGCCTTTCTTAAGAGCCAGTGCTGAAATAAACTCTACCCACCAAATACTGATGTTTAATGATAATTAATTTAAATTAATTATAATATACACCAGACAAATGAAACAAATCAACTAGTTAATTAGTTAATTAGTTAAAATACAAGTAAAATAAATGTGAAAAAACCCCCCATGGCGTTATTTGCTACTTTGTTTCCATATGCAAATGCAATGGTCATCAGTGACCTATCCCATTTCCTGTTTTCTGTTTGGTCACACGAATATTTCTCAGCTACAAATACCAATGGCTTGCATCGCCCATTACTGAATAACAGTCTACTTGACGCCTGCACATTCTTGCTTGTATGATCTTACACATCTTCCCAGAATTTCTCGACTTGCACCTGACAAAGAGTTCAAAGGTGACAGAAGGCAGAGGAGCAGCTATGTCCCCAAAACCAAAAGCAAACATCTGCGGAGGAGAACAGAGTGCAACCTACAGGACTCTTCCCAGGAATCTCCTCTTTGACAGCCTGCCAGACGCTGAAATGTCTATTATTATAATCAGCTTGGGATAAGGTAAAATGCCCATTATAAAATATCTGCAGATGAGAGAAGAACCGTGCAGAGCCAAAGCTGCCGCAAACTCAACGTCACATTCTACTCTGCTCCACGTACTTCTGTCACAGAGCAACACTTCACAGCCAAAAGGGGACATCACAGAGGGGACAGGGAAAGTGTCCATGAACCAAGGCTGCCAGAGACTTTTTGAGTACACTGCAGAGGAAACCAGGACATAGGGTACTAGGAGGGTGGGTGGCTAGGAGAGCTAGTTACGCTATCTACTTCAGTCTTCTACTGATTACGGTATTCTTTTGTATCTTTTTTTTTTTTTTTTTTTTTTTTTTTTTGGTTTTTCGAGACAGGGTTTCTCTGTATTGTTTTGGAGCCTGTCCTGGAACTCACTCGGTAGACCAGGCTGGTCTCGAACTCACAGTGATCCGCCTGTCTCTGCCTCCCGAGTGCTGGGATTAAAGGCGTGCGCCACCAACGCCCGGCTCTTTGTGTATCTTTAAGACATAATGTGAGCCAGGCATGGTGAAACACTTCTGGAACCCTACTCTGAAGACTGAGGCAAGAGGATCTTGAGTTTCCAGTGAGCCCTCAACCTATATACAGTTTTCTCAAAACAAACATCGGGTATGCTCTAAAAATATAAATAAATGGATCAAATTATACTGATCCCCAACAAACAGCATGCCAAACAGTTTTCTCTGCATTCTAACAACTTTATATTTGTTTTTAAATTTAACACCTGTCAAATAAACCAGCAGCAGATTAGATAGTTGGGGTAATTTTTTTTTTCTGGAAGTAATTTAAGTGAATGCTGTTCAACTCACGGGTCACCATCCCTCTTTCATTCTTGAAGTTTAAAGGCTCTGCACATACATGTCTTAGCAGATTCAACAAGTCTCAATACTGCTATAGTTGACCCTAAAACTCAACCTACCTTTCTAAAGTTGCATTCTGTAAGCACAAACCAAGAGAGCTGTAGAAGCCGTAGTCATATTACTATAAACAAAACCACAAGCACAGAGTCATTTGTAAACAGCAATTTGTCATCCAGCAAAAGCCAGATCATAGCAATAAAGATGACTGTCAAAAAGCCATGGCATGCCCAAGGATTGATCTGGCCATTCCTATCCGTATCAAATACAGCTGCAGATGCACTTTATAAAAGGAAAGACACAAGGCCTCAACAGCGTAGATATCTCCTCAAAGATAAACCATTCCCTGTGTTGAGGAATGATTTCAAGAAGAGCAAATAGCATGAGGTTCTCAGAAAATTTAGAGTAAAATCATGTTTTATCTACTACATATTATGTACATTTTTAATATAAAAAATAATTCTATGACTTTTGCTAGTCAGTAAAGGTGTTGCTTTCTACTTGTTAAACGTGCTTATAGTATTCAAGGGGGATCAAACAGATTATCATCTCAAAATACTAACCCTGAAAAGTCTTACGAATAACAAAATGTTGACCAGAACCTGGTGTCAAAATTGGTAAGCCAATGACATAAAATGTGCAGGAAAGCGTAAGAGAACCAAAGCAGTGCCCACACTGAACTCAAGAGTCATCAACAATTTTTTTCTATAAGCAAAATCTTCCACTAGGATCCCCATCAAAACAGGTGGGAGATTAATGTTTCCCATTTTGAATCTACAGCCCACATTTGTAATGCACTTCTGCAAAAATACATAAATCAAAATTTGGAGTTTTGGGTGTGCCTATGTACTAATGGGAGAAGTCATTTATAATAACAGTGAAACAAAAGGCAAAAGAGCTTTGTAATGGTTGAACACGGGTTCTGCTATATTAACTGGTAGACACACCGGGAATAGACGAGCAATTAGTTTTACACAGTTTACTTTAGGACAATGTCCATCTAAATTCACACCTTAAAAATCCGTGTTTTGAGGTTTAAAATGGGGACTGTGACATTACATGCACACATTACTTTTATTTCTCTACCAACACATAGTATCATCTAAATTGTAACTATTGCCTTAACTGTTTAGTAAACAAGTTATATTTTTATTGGAGTTACACCCAAATTTCACACATTTCAGAGATATTGGTCGTTCTCTGGTATTTTACACAAAAGGTCTTAATTTTTAAGCCAACAGAAGCCTTTAGTACAGCACAGTTCTTTGGAATGGATTTGCATCGAGTGTTTACATAAGGATCCAAGCCTGCAGGAAAGATAGTTGTGTGCCTCGGTAGCTCTATTACCTTTTTTTTTTTTTTTTTTTTTTTTTTGCAGAGCTATCCCTTCTTTATTTTTGATGGCTCTATGACTCCTACTTTGAAGTAGAATTGATCCCAATGTAATCAAAAAAGAGAGAAGATGTTTCTTTCATTCTCTCATAAAAGAGAACATAACACTTGAAAAACCGAGCAAACGTGAAAGGAGCAAGGATTCTTTCTGAAGACTCCAGAGACTATGTATCATGGTCTTTGGGTGCCGGGTTACTTTCACCTAAATGTTCCTGGAGCAAATGACTTGATAGCTTTGCACTCCAGCTGAATGCTCTGGCTGCATAAGACACCAACCATCTCTGTTCAAATCACACACACACACACACACACACACACTCCACCCCCATCTTAGCGTGCAGAGGCACAGTCTCTGCACAGGCTGGTGCCCATCTCGGCTTTGCTCAGTACCCTGATCCCAAGAATAAGTGCCACTACTTAATCCTGGCGGATCTGTGGTTCCTCCCCCACTCCACGTTGGAATACAGTGAGGATGGTGGGATCCCTCCTCCGCAGGAGTATAGAAAGGGCAACCACGTTGCCCCCTTCCTCACTCCAAGCATCCCTAGGGCTTCTCCTAGCCAGCAACCCAGAGCCATCGCTGCCAGTTGCACAAATACATGTCATCCTTGGCAATCAGAGGATCAAACAGCCCGTTACCAAGGGGGTGTCAGGAGCTTGGGGGAAGGGAGCAGGGTAAGCTTCCCAACCTAGAGGCATGCACCAGCAGGGAACCCTTTAAGAGCAATGACAGGTCGGCAGCAGCCAGCCATTGGTGACAAGGGAGGTCGACAGAGGACCTCCACCGCTCTCCTCGCTCCAGGCCTGCAGGGAAATCCCGGGGCGGCGGCGGGGGCTCGGGTCGTCCGCCGCCTGGCGCTGCCCCCACGCCGCCCCGCGGCCCCCCGGCCCCGCGGCGCGCGGCAGCCGGAGCTGGGCTCCCCCCACGCTCTCCCGCTCTCTCGCGAGTCCTGTGCAGGCCCTTCCCGCGGAGGGGGAGGGGGCGCCCGGGGAACTGCTGCAATGGAGCGCCTGGAGCACCGTGCCCGGGCGAGCCAGTCCGCGGCAAGCCACGGCCACATAAAAATGCCCTATTAATTTTTTAAAAGCCATAAATCACCTCCCCTCCCTCTGCAAAGAGCAAACCATAAACCCGATCCCATGCAAGCCCGCGAGCAGCCACCCACTTCCTATTTCTGTCACAGCAGCTACACCCTGCCAGCAGTCACCCCCCCAGGCGCCCCCTCCCGCCACCGCCACCCCCGCCACCCCCGCCACCGCCTCCCAGGCGCTCAGCCATTTGCCAACTGCTGCCCCCCGTCCACAAAAAAAAAAAAAAATGCCCCTCTTGGGGCCGGGTGGGCGGTGTGGGGGCAGGGCGCGGCGGCGGAGGGGGATCGCCGCTTGCAGGAGATCCTAGAAGGTCCCCGGCGCGAGCCTGAGACGGACAACCGGGGCGGGGGAGGGGCGGCCCGGCGCCTGCGGCACTCGGTGCACCCCGGGCCGCCGCGGCGCTGCGCTTACCTTTCACCACCCTGTCGGTCGTCGACAACTTGGGATCAATCGCCTTGGGCTCGGACATCTCCAGCCGCCGGGAGGGGGGGACAGCCACGCGCTGCTCGTCCCGTCCGACTGCACACCCCGACCACACCGGCGGGCCAGACACTCAGCGCCGCCGCCGCCGCCGCGCTGCAAACCGCTCGGCTGGAGCTCCGGGCTCTGGGCTGGCTCGAAAGTTACTGCCGGCTCCGCGCGTCCCTCCTCCGCCGCCGCCGCCTTCACTCCTCCTCCGCCGCCGCCAGCCCCGCCGCCTCGCTCCGGGCTGCGCGTGTGTGCTGGTTATTTATTTATTTTCTGAGCACGCCTCCCGGTTCTTCTTTTATTCTTGGGGACGGGGCGGGGGATGGGGAGGAGAAGCGCACGCGAGCACCCACCCCGGCACCGACACCGGGCACCGCGCAATGGAGCCCCCACGCGCGCGCACGGTCGGGATTAAGACCGATCACATGGGGAGGGCCGGGGGCGAGGGAGGAGAGGCAGGGCCGTGGATGTCAGCGCCGCCAGCCGCGCCTCCGCGTCCCGGTGGCGAAGAGGCGGCTCGCCGCTGCGGCCGCCGCTGCTTCCCCACGCCGATCGTCGCCGGCCGCCGCCGGGGCCGCGGCCGCCGTGGACGTCCCGCCGCCGCGATCGCCCGCGATCCTCCTCCGCCTCGCGGCGCCGCTGCTTCTCCGCGCACGGGCAACAGCCGCCGAGCTCGGTGGACACAGTCCGGGGCACAACCTCGCCTCCGCCGCCGTGCCGGCCGCCGCCGCCACCACCGCGCCCGCCTCCGCCTCCTCCCCTTCCTCCTCGCCGCCCCCGCCTCCAGCGCCCGGGCCACCTCCTCCTCCGGGCCCGTCCCCCGGGCCCGCCCCCACGCCGTGCTTTCACTCGCTCATAGGCTGCGGCGCGCGTTCCTCACCGCTAAGGCGGTGGTCTGCGCGGCCGTCCCGCCCCCTGCTCTGTTTTCTCCCGGGTGCCACTGGGTCCCCGGGGCCTGCAACCTCCACCGCCCCAGTGGCCGCTCAGGTGTCAATGAGGTGGGCAGAGGGGGGCAGGCTGGGCCGGGAAGCACGGTTCCGGAGGAGCTGGGCTGCTGCGTGCCACCACGCCTGCCCGCCGCCCCCTGGGTCCCCGGGCACACTCCCGGGTGTGTGGTGACGGCTGCCAGTGTGTGAGTGGCCCGCGGGAGTGAGATCGGAGACCCGGAGAGGGAGGAAGGAGGAGCGCCCAGAGCTCGGGGCCGCGGCGCAGCTGCTGTCGCCGCCGCCGCAGCTGTCCAGGGAGGCTCGCCAGGAAGGCGACCAGTAAACAGCTTACCTTGGGGAGGCGGCGCTGCCTGGGCTAGGTGGACGCCGGTTACTGTTGGTGTGGTGGGCACAACTTCACGGGAAGAGGGGGTTCCTGGCCAAAGTGTGTTTCGGGCGCTGAGGGACGCAGTGGCTAATGGGGGGACCGACTGGAGACTGTGCGACCCAGGCTATGCTCAGTGACCCAGGATGCCCTCGGGTCTCCTGGGAGATAAGAGGAGTCAGAAAAACTCAAGAGAGGTCGCCTTTTCCTTGTTCACACGTGTACGCAGTCACTGGTGGGGATGGGTGACACTAAAAGTCAGTTAGTCACTTGGAGCTCAAGGTGTGTGCAGGGCCTTGGAGCCTTGCTGGGAATTCTCACCAGTCCCGAGTAAGGAGGAAAGTAGGGGACAAAGAACCAGGTGCTGGTGGCTCTGATAGTTCCTTTCAAGGGGCTCTGGCTTAAGGACGTGTCTCTCTGCAGCAGATCCTCTGGACACAGCCTTCTCCCTGGCCTACCCAAGGACCTGCAAGGAAATTATGAAGAAAGCTGAATAAATTTATAACCCTCGTCCTTCCTGTTTTACTTTCAAATTCCTTCAACACCATGGTTTTCCAGTTCCTGAATTGGACTGTGGGCCCAATAAAAAGCCTAATAAGCGTTTTTTAGGAAGCTAGGAGATGGAGCCAGGAGAACTGTTTTGGCGACAGGGATTAGATTAAACTCAAATCCGAAAAAAAAAAAAGTAAGTTTTAATAGCGGACTGGAAGCCCTGGAGCATGACGCTGGAGTGTGTGGCTTCAAGGAATTCGAGCAGACACTATAAAGAGCAACCCTGTGGAGGCCTGCTAGACCAAGTGGGTGGGGGCATCCCAGCAGCAAGAGAGGCTGCCCCTGGTGGCCAGATTGTCCTACCATGTTTGCAACCTTTATTATGGTCTTTGCCTTCAGTCAGTCTGTGTAGTCCAGTGGAATTTTCAGGTGACATGAAATTACCTCCAAGAGGGGTGTATAATCTGCTCAGTTAGGGGTTGTTGCAAGCAGCCTCCTGGGCAAGAGCCAAGCTAGTTGCCAAGGCAGATTCGGGAAGCTGGTCCCTGGCCAGGTGGCTGGCGGAGAGGGAGGGATGCCAAGACCTGTGGGTGAAGAGGGCCTGCTTCAGGAAAGACTAGGAAACCTTATCTGGGGACGCCCACACACTGCACACAGATGCCTTGCAACTGTTACTCAGAGTGACTTTCCCCGGGGCACAGGAAAAGCACCCTTGAACTAGGTAGGATCTGAGGCTGAAAAAGTCAACCACATTGAAAAGTTTTATGGTAGAGATAGGAAGTAAAGGCACACCTTTCAGACACGCCCTCCAGCGCTCCACAAGTCTAGAAGAGCGCCTAGCTAAGGTATGTGTGGGGAAAAAGAAATGAGTCGTGATCACATTGCCACACACCTTCCTGTCATCGGATAGGCTTAACGCCTGTGTGCGGTTCCATAAAAATTTGCAATGCAGACACATCTAGGTGAAATTGGACTCTAGTACTGTGCAGGAGCACATCAACCAGGAACTAGCTAGGACCGGACATCTGGCTGCTCAACCACACAGCCAAAGCATCTGCTCGTCCGACGTCCCTTCAGACAACCAGCTCCTTGCAATTACCATCCTTTTCTCTTTCCTCTTAATCCTGTCAGACGCCCCAAAGAGTTCATGACTGTCTTCCCACTGGCAAAGATTAACTTCCCTTTGGAATTCACATTTTCAGGGTGATGACTTCAATTCCCAGGAGCTGATTTTGGAAAGTCTTTTGCTCATAAAGAAAAAGTGAGATTAAAAACACTGATAAAAGACATTTCAACACAGCAATGGTGGCATGAGACTTTAATCCCAGCACTCCTTAGGCAGTGGCAGGTAGATCTCCAGGAGTTCATGACCAGCCTGGTCTACAGCGTGAGTTCCAGGACAGCCAGAGCTTTTACATGGAGAGACCCTGTCTCAAAAAATAAATAAATAATAAAGATATTTCATCCACTAAGAAAAAAATATATGATTTTCCTTCCTTAGTTTAATTCTCTCTAGGAAGCAGCTTTCCAGTCAGGAATTCCATTTCCCAGCCTGACTGTCCATGTGATTAGTTTGGGGCATTGATAATATGAGCTAAAGTGGTCTTTGGCTTACTGGCCAGAGTGATGGGGCAGCTGATCCAAATCCTTCCATCTGTAAACCTCTGTTCAGCTGAATATGGAACCTTCTAAGACCCTGGTGTGGGCAGTGGGTCAGATGAATGGAGCCAAGTCTGTCATTACCACACCAAGAAATGCTGCTCACCTCCTAATAAAGACTGCGGGAGGCTTTAACTAAAACAGACCCGTTTTTGTGTTAGTCTGCTAGGGTTTATAAATGCATTCATTAGGAAATTAATATATAGTAGTTACTCATTTTATTTGAAAGTAAGATATCTACTAAAATACAGAAGTGTTACATCACTGTTACATAAGAGAGCAACCACAAGACTAAAACCATTCTCCTCTGTTTTAATACATCAACATCCAATCTTCATTTTTGTAAACAACTGTAGTTAGAATTTTCTTTGGGCCACCAACCAGGTCCCAAATAAAGACAGGGACTTATCATTAATTATGAATGTTCTGCCTTACCTTAAGCCTGTCCCATGAGCTCTCTTAACTTAATTTTACCTATTTCTATTTATCTACATGTTGCCTTGGGGCTTTTTAACCTCCCTTTCATTCTGTATGACCTGCTTTCCTGCTTTCTCAGTGCCTGGCTAGCAGACACCTGGGGTCTCCCTGGCATTGCTTTTTCTTTATTCCCCCAAACCTAAACTCCCCCTCCTACTTACTCTCCTTGCCCAGAAGTCCTTCCTGTTCCGCCTCCGTCACTCTTGGTCATTCAGGGTTTTTTGTAGACCAATCAGGTGCCTTAGACAGACAAGATAAAATAGCAACACATTTTTACATAATTGAACAAATACAATATATCTTTACATAGTTAAACACATGCAGCACAACTTTGCACAGCTAAACATTCCATAGCACGGCTCAATGGTCAGTAAATGTGAGAGATAGAGATTCAGTCATTTTGTTTTCTTTCGTCTTGGTGTATGGATCTTACATGCGTGTTATCTTTTCAGACATTGATGTGCAAGTACGGCTTCCACACAGAGTAATTTACTATTTTCTTCACAAATGAATATTGAATAACATGCTTGAGGGAAAACTTCGGATGCCATCAAAGTTGATCAAGATCTGATTTGAACAGGAGAAACATCTTGATGAGGAGAAATGATAGGTCATCCACCACGGTCTATCCCCCTTCTGAAACCAGGCGTGAAAATTAGGATTCACCAGACCCAGCATAAATGATAGGTGGAGTTTTATTGGGGAAAGAACTTACACAAGAAACAATGAGTGACTGTCACAGCATTCCTGCTCCAAAGATGCCAACCCTGCCTCCCCAGTGCTCTCTGATTTCTGATCCTCTCCCTTTATCTGGTCATATCTGCACCTGTAGCCCGCCCAAAATGTGTGACCACTGTTACAGGTAAATATATCACTACAGAAGACTTTTGGGTTTGAAATCCACTATATTGATATGATCCATACAATTTTCTCCCACTGGTAAAAAATCACAGATAGTGAAAAATAATTTATATTTTTTATTGTGTGCTATAATTTGTATTTTTAATATGTGCTATTCTGTGCAGTTACTTTGTCAATTTAACACAAACTAGAGTCATACGAGAAGAAATTGCCTCCATAAGATTAGTCTGCCATTTGATCTGTATGGCATTTTCTTGACTAGTGATTGAAATAGGAGGACCCACTGTGGGTAGTGACACCACCTGCAGGAGGTCCTGGGATGGAAAGCAGACACAATAAGAAGCACTCCTCCTTGGCTTTTCTTTCAGGCCCTGCCTCCAGGTCCCTGACATAATGTCCCTCCCTGATAAACTATTACCAGGAAGTATAAGAAGAAAAAAACAACTTTTCCTCTGCAAGTTGCTTTTGGTCATGTTACTTTATCACAGAAATAGAAATCCTAAGAAAAGTGTCATGTTAGTTTCAGAGGAAATAAGTAGATAGGTATATAGTAGATAAATATGAGAGGGACGAGGGAAAGAAAAGAGAGATAAAAAGGAATTAAATATACTATATTCTGTATCCTATTTTTGATAATAACATACTTTTCAGATTTTGGGTGTCTCCTTGATTCACTGAAATGAAGTCAACTTATATGCCCTTAATGTGTTTCTAATCCAGTTACTTAGCATTTTGTTGAAAATTTTTGTTGTTTATTCAAAGGGAAAATTGGATTATAGTTTCCTTAGAACATTGTTGTGACATTGTCTACTTTGGGTATCAGGGTAACGTTGGCTTCACAGAATGAGTTTAATGGTATACTTTTCTGTTCTATTTGATGGCATAGTTTGAAGAATATTGATGTTTCTTCTTCCTAACCAGTTGGTAGAATTTGGCACTGAATCTATCTGGTTCTGGGCTTTTCTTTGATAGGATACTTAAAAGCTAAAACAAAATAACACGAAGAGAAGTAATGAACACAAACTTCCAGTATCTAATGTATCTTGGGGTGGCCTGGAACTTCCTATGTAGCAGAGAATAGCCTCGAACTTCTGATCCTCCTGTTTCCATCCTGGGTGCAGGGATTACAAGATTGCATCAACATACTGAGTTTTATGCAATACGGGAAATCAAACTTCCTGAATACTAGGCAAGCATTCTATCAACTGAGCTACATCCCCATCCCTATTTTAAATATTATTGCTTATTATGTGTTTAAGTTCTTAATAGCATATTGATCTAATTTAGTGGGTTATAGACTCATAGGATTATACCCATTACTTCTAGCTTTTCCAGTTACTTGAAGTACAAACAAATTATCAAATATTTCCTAATGATTAAAGGCTATTGTAACATTTTAGGTTTTTATCTTGTTTATTATTGTTATTATTATTTGGTTTCCAGATAGGGCTTCTCTGTGTAACATCTTTGGCTGTCCCGGAACTTGCTCGTAGACCAGACTGGCCTCAAACTCACAAAGAATCACGTGTCTCTACCTCCTGAGTGCTGGGGTTAAAGGCGTGTACCACCACGGCTCTTCTATCTTTCATTTGATTAGGTTTGTTAATTTCATTAATTTCAACCCTAATCTTTATTATCTCTCGCTACTTGTTGCTTTTGGGTATGGATTGTTTTTGTTTTTCTAAGACTTTAAAGTGCATCATTAGGTTATTTATTCAAGATTTCTCTCATTATAAATATAAGCTCTAAATTTGCCTTTTAGAACTTCCTAGATTATGTCCTAAAGCATCTAATAAGGTCTGCTCTCATCTTCATTTGACTCTAGAAACATTTAAATTTCCTCTCTGATTTCTTCAAAGGTTCACTGGTTGTTTAAGAATGTATTATTTAGTCTCCAAGTATTTACATAGTTTCTGTGGTTTCTCTTGCTATTGATTTCCAACTGTGTTCCTCTATGATTTGAGGATATCAATAAATTATTTTTGGCTCTTTTGTAGTTGTTAAGACTTGGTTTATGGTGTAGA